AATACAACTTCAGACATTGTGTGACCCTGGGCAAGTCAATCTCTTCCTCATTTTGCTCATTTCTAAAATGGAGATAACAGCACTTATACTTCCCTCATGCCCAACAACCCCAGGTTGTTGTGAAGTTCTAATGAAATATTTGTAAAGTGCCTTGGAAATCTTGAAGTGCTATATGTATTTTTTTTTAAAAGCTAGGAGTACTCCCTCCCTCTTTAATCTCCTGACAATTTAGCCCTTCCTATGAACCTAATTTTTGAACTTATATTATAATCATATGTTTCTCAATTAGATCATCTTTCCCTGAGGGCAGGGGATGTAATTTTCTTCATCTTTAGGCACCTAGCACATTAATATCAAATACCATGCACTCAAATGCTTGTTGATTCCAGTTAATGAAACTGGAATGGCAAGAGAGACATGCAAAATAGATTTGCCAGCATTTTTGTAGTGATTGCTTTTCACTGTTGTCTATATTACAACCAAAGAATCAACAAATATTTATAACATGTATTATGTACCAGGCACTGTGCTAGACACTAGAGATACAAAGACAAAAGTGAGTTTGTCTTCTCAAAGTTTATAGTTTAGCTGAGGCAAAGAACATGTATTTATGTATACATAAGACAGACAAGATAATTTTTAGGGGAAATAGTAGCTGCAGGAATAAGAAAGGCTTCATGTAAAGATGATTGTTGGCTGAACCTCAAAGGAAACTAGAGATTCTGAGAAGTAAAGGTAAGCATGGAGCGCATTCTAGGCATGCGGTTATAGCCATTGAGAAAGCACAGAACTAGGAGATGGGAGTGTCATGTATTAACAGAAAGGACTATAGTATGTAAGAAAGTAATATGTAATAAGGTTGGAAAAGTATGTTAGGGCCAGGTTGTCAAGGGCTTTCAGTGCCAAAATGAGAAATTCTTAAAGCTAACAGAAAGTCACTAACAGGGGTTCTTAACCCAGACACCATGAATTTATTTTTAAAAATATTTTGACAACTATTTCAATATAATTGGTTTAGTAATCTTAAGTATTTTGTTTTATGAATTTAAAAACATTATTCTGAGAATATCCATAGGCTTTAACAATTGCAAAAGGGCAATCACATACACACACAAAAAGCAAAGAATCCCTGCACTAGAGTTTACTGAGAAGATATGGTCAGACCTGGATTTTTGGAAAATCACTTTGGTAGTTGCTGTGTGGAGGATGGAGCTTGGAGACTTGAAGCAAGATCAAATAGGTGGCTATTACAATAATCTAGATGAGAAGTAATGAGGGTTTAAACTAGGGATGGTAGCTGTGTAGGTGGAAAGAAGGGGACAGATTAATAGAAGTGAAAATAGAAACAAGATGTGTCAACAGATTGGGTATGTGGGATGAGAATAAAGCATGGGGGAAATGACACAGAAGTTGTAAATCTGGGTGTCTAAAAGGATAATGGTTCTCTCTACAGAAATGGGGAAGTTCAGAAGAGTGACTTTGGAAGGAAGAGTTTTGGATACCTCTATTCCTGTGCCTATCCAGTTTGGAATGTACCAAAGGTGATATAAGACTAAAGCTCGAGAGAGATACTAGAGCTGGATGTCAAGCTCACGGGTCGGGGAGGAGTGAGCCTTGTTGGCATAGGGATGGCAACTGAGCCCATAGGGAGCTGATGTCAACCACAGGGAGCATAAAGTGAAGAGACTATCAAACACAGAAGTACTTAACACAGAGTCTGGAAAAGCAGCCACATCTGATCTAGCAGATACAGAAAAATCAGCATCATCCACAAGTAGAGAAAGGACTGACAGAGTCTGAATGAAGATCAAGGCATACTATCTTTACTTCATTTTTTTTTTGGTTTTTTTTTTCCTTTTTGTTCTGTTTCTTCTTTCACAACATGACTAATTTGGAAATGTTTAGCATGGTTGCACATGTTTAACCTATCTCAGATTGCTTGCCATCTTGGGGAAATGGGTGTGGAGGAAGGGAGAAAAATTTGGAACTCAAAATATATAAAAAAAGAATACTGAAAATTGTCTTTATGTGTAATTGGAAAAAACACTATTTACAAAAAAAAAGTACTGGAAGTGACACAATTTTAAAGGCACTCAAGGATTGATTCTTCAAGATACCAAAATAGTTTCTACATTGTGTATGTATACACATGTTAAACTATGTTTCTAATTTAACATGGTAATTCCAATACTATCGTACTTGTCTGATGTTTCTGAACTTCCTTCTGCTCTCTTCTAATGGATCTAAAATAATCCATTGATGCTGTTTTCTTTTCTCCCCTTTATTTGGTATCACTATCAACAGCAGCTAGGCGGTACCATGAATAGAGCACCAGGTCTGGAGTCAGGAAGATCTGAGTTCAAATGCAGCCTCAGATACTTATTAGCTATGTGCCCCTAGGCAAGTCACTTAACCCCTATTTGCCTGAGTTTCTCATCTGTAAAATGGGGACACACTGGTGAAGGAAATGACCAATCATTCCCATATGTTTGCCAAGAAAACCCCATGGACAAAGTTCATGGGGTCACATAGATTCGGAAACAACAACAAAATCACTATTCCCCACTACCACTCAACTTCATCTACCCTCCCCCCCAAACCCTCCCTTGTAACAAAAGTAGTTATACTAAATAAATCCACATATTGGCAACGGATGAAAATGTATATATTTCATTCTTTACCTCTTGTCCATCACTTCTCCCACCAAGCAGAACTTACCAGTCTCCTAGACTAATCATTGCATTTATCCCACTTCTTAGGTCTTTCACCATTCTTTTTTTTTTTTACCAATGTTGTAGTTATTATGGTGCAATAATATTACATTCATATACTATTATTTGTTCAGCCACTCCACAATTGATAAGTACTGCTTCTAGTCCTTTGCTACAATAAAAAATTACTACTATAAAAATTTTGCATACATGGGCCCTTTCCTCTTTCTTTGATCTCTTTGGGTTGCAAGTCTTAATACTGGTATCACTGGATCAAAAGGTCTGCACAATTTGGTGACTTTTCCAACAGTTGAACCACTTCCCGGTTCCATCAACAGCACACTAATGTGTATCCTCCCACAGCTACTCCAATAATTGGCATCTTTGTCGATCTGAAGGGTTGTTTTAATTTACGTTTTTCTTATTTATTAGTGATTTGGAACAACTTCGCATGTGAAAAGTTAAAAAGCTTGATTTCCTTTTTTGAGAACTGTAGAAACCTATCATTTGACCACTTATCCTCTGGGGAATAGCTCTTGCTCTTAGGTATTTATATCAATTCCCTAGTTATCTTAGAAATCAGAACTTTATATTAGAAAAGTTTGCGCAAATTTTCCCTGGATGTTTCCCTCATAACTGAGTTGACTTTGTTTCAACTTTTAATAATAAAAACTGTCCACTTTTATCTTTGACCCTCTTTCCCTTGTTTGATCAAGAACTCTTTCCCTATCCAGTTGTGAAAGATATTCCCTTCTACACTTTGATATTTTACATCTAGATTATGTATCCATTTGGAGTTTGCTGTGGTATGTGATGTCAGATGTTAGTTTACATCTAATTTCTGCCAGACCGTTTTTTGTTTCCCCACCAGTTTTTAGTGAATAGTAAGTCATTACCCCAGAAGTTAGTCTTTGGTTTTACTGAACACCATTTTGCCATATTCAATTACTTCTGGGTCTTGTGCCTAGTCTGTTCTGGAGATTCCAAAAGAAAATACTATATAGATATTTCTTCCATAAAAAGGTGACTAAGAGACTGGCCACTACCACAACATATGCTTATTTTCTCAACTCTATGCAAACCTTTATGAAAAGTTTATGTACATTTTTAGAATATCCTAGGTTTTTTCATTTTTTCAACATGTGAAGGAAACAGGCATGTTTTCACAGAATTCCTTATATACCACACCTTTATGGTCACACAAACTAAAAGGTGAAAAAACAAAGACTGCACCTAAAAAAAAAGCATTAAATTTGGAAGACAACGAAGTCTTGAGGTTCTCCTCAAGGTGCATCCCATACTTGTTAAAATTAGATAAGACTTACAATGACTTTGTTCAATGACCCACTCAGTGTTAATGTCAATTGAGGCATAAAATAGATACATGCCCACCTAAGCTGTTTGACAGTGTCATGAAAGAGGTGGACTGGGCAGAGTGCAGAAAGAACTCTTTTTTTGACAGTGAGTGATTTCTAAATGGATCTTATTCACAAATATATTCCTTATTTGCCCCAGCAAAGGCTTCTCCATAAATTCCAGAGTGATGGGAGACTGGTCTAACCATCCATACTGAAAAAAAGTAACTTTTAAAAAAATGGCTATTACTCAGGATGACATCCATCTGGACCAGCAGCTGCCTGTTGAGCTAATTTATCAGTAAATATAACATGGTCAGGAGACCCCTGCTCTTGTTCTCAGTGTTCCCTCCCTCCTCAAAACATCTTGTATACAATTATCTACATAAACATTGTATCCTCCTGGTAGAAGTGACAGCCCTCAGTGTTCAGGGACAGTTTTTGTTGTTGTTGCTTTATGAGCCTTTCACAGAGTAGGTATTGCTAAGTATACTTGTTGAATGAATGGAAGGAGATAAACAGTGACCCGGACCCAGGATTCAGCCGAGCAGACTGAATCTGCTCACCCCCCCCCCAACCCCACCACCACTTCCCCAGCCCAGCTTCTGAACAGTTCTCATCTCACGGTGACGCCATGTGGCTATGCATCACGGAGTTCAGCAATCCCCTTTATTTAGAGAATGCTGAAAAAGGAGGCTGAGGCTGACAGAGTATGGACAGCAAGGGCAGGTGGTAAAGAAACAAAAGTAGCCACGGGAGATGAAGTAAGCTTGGAATGTCCAGTGGCCCCCTCACCCCTACCCCCAGCAAAGGGAGGATGGATGGTGGGACCCCTGTTGCCCTCTCAGCCCCATGAAGGCCCCTCAGGTTTGTGCCTGCAGCAGACCTTGGACTGGTCTGACCCTAAGCAAGATGAACAAATAACTGTGCACACTGCCTGTGTCCAAATGTCATTTAATCTTTCAGCATGAAAGATCTTCACAGTATCAAAAGTAAAGAATAAAAAAAAAACACCAAACACAGAGAGAAGCACTGGGCAGGCAATTCCACCAGCTCCTTTGCCCCACAGTGCCCTGGGGGAGCAGCCCGTCCCAGTCCGGGCTCCAAGTGTGGAGGCTGGCTAGCACCAGAAATCGGCTTTTCGAAGATCCAGAGTTTGTTTCCATCACAGCTCAGTGTCAATCCAGGTTTTGGTTCATCCGGGGAGAGGGGTTCTTAGGTGGTCAAGTGGCAAGTGGACAGGTATGAAAGAGCCACCGTGAGGGCAGGAGAGGGGAGGGAGAGTATTTTCTCTCCAGACATTCAGCCAATACCCAAGAGCTACGACCATCCTGGAGAAGAATAGTTCAGTGTGGACCAGGCAGGGGCTGGGGAAAAAAGAGGGTGATAACACAACCAGCTTCTCTTCCCGTTCCATAGTTCAGGCTTTTAACATACATTAGGAATGGTTCCAATCCCTTCACTACCCCCACCTCCACCCCGTGATCACCATGGCAACAGGAGCAGGCCTGCTTGCCATTTCCGCTCCTTGGGTTATAAAAGGAAATAAAAAACATTTATCAGAATATCTGGATTGCCTTCAATCTCTATCCCCATTTCCCCAATCACAGGAGGAAGAACACATGCCTGGGAGGAGACAGACAGGACAGAATATAGTGGGTGCTTTCAAAATGTATTCTAGGCCTCAAGGAAGGGGAACCACCTCCTGGGGTGAGCAGAAAGGGTCCTTTTTGCTACAGAGCTAGTCCTCCCTAGGGCAAGAGGGTACCACCACCACCAAATTCTGCTCCCTTGGGCTGTGGCAAAACCAGCACATCACGTGGAATTCCAGGCTCCTATGTTCTCTGATGGAAGAAGGAGCCCAGCAATTCCTCCTCTAAGGCGGCTAGCCCCAGCAGCTAGATGGCCTCTGGCTATGGGTCTCCAAAGCCCCGAGATTTTGCTGCTCTCTACAGGTGTTTAGCTCTGTTACCTTGACCCCTGCTCCTCCAGCTTCCCATCCCCAGACATTCCCAGATAAGTGTCAGCACCTAGCTTTAACAACTCTGGCTGCTTAGCTCTCCATACCCAAGTCAGAAGGGGAAAGGGGAAAAGGAAAGGGAATGAGTGGAGACTACCCTTGCCTTCCAGTTTCAGGTCACTCAGCCAACTAGCCCAGAAAAGGCTGGTTGGGAATGTTGGCTCCACAAATCCAAGGGAAAAGGACTGAGTTTAGGGAAGGAGCACAAGAGAAGATCAGGGCATATGGTGCTAGTTCCTATAAGACTATGGGTAGAGTTAGAAGGAAATCAGGAGAAAAGCAAGAACAATAATTCTGAGACTTTGGTCTCTGTGCTCCTATCTATTCCTTAATCCTGACTCCCTGACTCCCTTCTGGAAGGGAACTTGGGGCACAGGGAACAGAAGGGAAGGAGAAATTTGTAAAAGTGAAGAAGTTCATAAAGCACTGATTCTCATCAGTAAGTACATGTCTATCCTGAGGAAGGGATCTCCCCACAGGTCAGAGGTATTTGTTTTGCCTGTGGAAACTTGATCCCCTTTAACCTTCCACATCCTGGGTCAACTCAATTGTGTAGGGGGCAATTTTGATTGCCCAGAGCGATGCTTAGGAATCTGTGGACAGACTAGGTTCCCCAAATGGGAAAGTGGCCAAGGGAATCCCAGTCTCACTCAAAGGATACTCAACATTCCCGCTGCATTCTGTAAAGGCTCCTCACTCCACCACTGATGGCAAAGTTAGGAACAGAACCCTAGGAACTTCCAGTGCTCCAACTCAGGGTAGAAAAGAGAGAATGTAGAACAAGGTTGAGTGGCTGGGGTTAGTCAGCTGATTGGGCACATGCTACAAAGGGATTTTTAGAAAGAGAACATCAGTCAGGTCAATATTCAGCTTTTAGGGAACCTGCTGCCACTAAACTCTCAAAAGAGTTTATTACTTCTGTGATCAGCAAGTCAGGCCAGAGACCCTAAGTAGCTGGCTGGGGGGGGGGGGCGGGCACTGACAGAAGTAGTAAATTTGGAGTCCAACTAGAACCCAGGAGGTTCTAATCCTGGCTAAACTACTTACCAACTTTAACCTTGAGCAAGCTACTGTACAATAAGGGAATAGGGGTGCAGGGGGTGGACTAGATGACCTCTAAAGGTCCTTTCAGCTCTGGATCCTATGATTGTGTTCAACGGATCGGAAGTGTCCCATTTTCAGAGGGAGGCAGGAGGTTCAGAGAGCACTCCTAAAAGCAAGGGGGAGGGAAGGGGAGGAGCAATAAGGGAGATTCCTGGAACCATTTATTCCAGAACGAAAATGACTCTGCTTGTAGCTAGTTGCTTGGGAGGTTTTCCAACCTCACTGGAAGGGAGGAGAGGAGGGCTGGTGTTGGTAAGGGAGAGGAGAGAGCAGATTCTCTCTTGATTCCTGAGGGCAGCATGCAGCTGCCAGTGTACCAGCGACCTGCCCAGCCCCTCCCTGAGGAGTGTAGCTGTGCAGCCCTGATCTACATCCCCCCAACCCTTCACTCCTCACTACAGAGGGTGCTACAGAGGTGGGAAGACAGGCCACTTAGCAGCTGGGGCCCTGCGCCAACTTTAACAACAAGACCATTGTCCCATGAGTTCCCCCTCAAGAAATGGAATCCCAATTTTCCTCCCTTTCCAGTCAGTTTCCCCAGGCCCTGAAGGACAGCTGCTCTAGCCTCTGGTACAACAATCCAAGCTCTCAGGCAGACAGCTGACTGTGGAGGCTGGAGACCAGCAGGCTGAGGGACATGCCTGGAAGGGGATATGGGAGGGAGCGGTGGTTCTCTCAGTGCACAACAATGCACGGTGGGTGTGGTGCTTACTGCAGTCTCCCTATCTGGGAGCCAAACTCCCCATTCTCAGACAGCTTTCAACCACCCTGCTGACATCTCCCTGTCTTCTACAAAGTGCTCTTCACATCCCAAGGACTTTCCTTTCTCTTTGATGCCCCTGTTTCTGGCGACAGCATAAGGTTTAGACTCAGGGCCTGAGTCCAAATTCTAGTTCTATGATTTACTACCTGGTTTAACCTTGGAAAAATTTCTTCCCCTCTCTGGGCCTCCACTTCTTCAGTTGTAAAATGAGGGGGCTGAACAAGATGATGTGTAAGGTCCCTTCCTGCTCAAAATCTTACAACTCGACCCCATTCAGACACTCCTGGGCTGGCTCTGTTTAAGGGTGTCCTATTACTTTGCATCTGGCACGCTCAGAGTGTGTGGAAAGTACAAGGAAGGCCCTTCCCTGGAGTCCAAGTTGGATATGAAGTGAAGGCTCAACACCGGGGTTCCATGCTCCCTACAACTTCCCTGTCAACAGAAGAGAAGCAGGGGAGCTAGGCTTTTGCTCTTTGCTGGCCTGTGCTGGAAAAGGTCATGTGGAAGACGGATGAGATGATGACCAGTAACTAGTGTTCCCATGCATCTCAGGAACCCATAGAGAAGGGAAACTGGAGTAAAGGAGAACAAAGGGACCAGGCAGGAGGGAAGGCATGGAAAAACCAATAAGAAACAACAAAAATAATATCCTTTTTTTAAATAAAATTAAAAAATTAAAAAGCTTTTTTTATTGGGTCCAGCATGGCCCTTCTACATACCCAGTGGGAGTGTCAATGTGAGTATGATACAGAGAAAGGACAAGGCCAAGGTCCCCAAATCTTGGGGTCTGTCAGTATTCTCCCCCATTTTATCAAAAAACGAGACATGAAAAAGACAAAAGGGACCTGGACTCATCAGAGTCTTGACTCTGGGGACTTGGTAGCTGGGGAGAGGGAAGGCCCCGGGCATCCCATTAAAGGGTCCTTTAGAAGCCAAGTCACCTTGGGATGGGGAAATGGAGCACAGGACGTGATCTCCTTTCCTCCTAACTCCTTGCCCACCTGACCACTAACGACAGATCCAGAATAAGTAGGGCTCAGAGTCAAAGAAGAAAGGAAGGGCAGGAAGAATACCTGTGCCTTCAGGCTCACAAAATGATGTGCAGAGGGGAAACAATGCCACAATGGGGAGTAGGAACAGGAAAAGAGGCAGGAATGCTACACTGGATGCCAAACTTTCCAGTCCACAGAGCGTGCATATGAGGCCTCCCATAGCCAGGCCAGTCCTAGAGAGAGGACACAGTGAGGCAGAGTGTCTGGGAAGAGGAGTGGGTAAATGGGGAGGAGAAGCCCTCCCTCTCCTCCCCCTCACCCCATGTGGCACACCCAGAGGCATACAATGCCCTGCCCCCATCACACCTCACTGAGCTGCGCTGGAAGTGATTTTCTTGAGGGTGAAGTTGGTCCAGTTCACAGCCACTTTTTGACGAGTCTGCTTTGCAGAATCCAGGCAGAACCTGGGAGGAAAGACAAAAATCAGAGGATCCCTTGTGTTCCTCCCATCACATCATGCCGTGGCTCCTCCACAACTGACCAGAACAGTCTGACATACTTGCCACTCCACCCAAACCATCAGCACCACTTGCCCTACACTCTGCTCATACATCAGGTAACGCGATGTACTGGAGAGAGCACCAGATATGGAGTCAATTTTTGTTGTTGCTGCTCAGTCATTTCTGACTCTGGGCTCCTATTAGGGGTTTTCTTCTCAAAGGTCAGGTACTACAGTGGTTTGCCACTTCCTTCTCTAGCTCATTTTACAGATGAGGAAACTGAGGCAAACAGAATTAAGTGACTTGCCCAGGGTCACACAGCTACTAAGTGTCTGAGGCTGGATCTGAACTCAGGAAGATGTGTCTTTCTGACTTCAGGGCCCGGCACTCTATCCACTGTACCACCTAGCTGCCCCTAAATCAAAAGACCTGGTATCAAATCCCAGAGCTATTACTCATTGCTGTGGGCAATGATGGGCTAGATGATTTCTATACTCCAACTCCAAATCCTACAACCTAGAAATGCCCATCTATGACAAAGAGGTAGAAAACTGCAAAAATTGAGCACTTATCTGCTTTGGTTTCCAGGAGGATGAGATCTGGGGGAAGTGCAGGAAGTGGGGTAGGGGCTCATTAGGAGGCCAGGAATAAACCTCCAAAATCTCAAGTTAAACAGGGCTCCCTGGTCCATTACAGATTTGGCACAAACTAGTCCAGGACCACCGAAGCTGGCCAAGGTGTTCCTTGTTAATGGACCAGATAAGACTAAGACCCTAGTCAATGAGAGCTACTTATGACTGGGATATGTGTGGCCACTCAGTGAAAAGTCACAGAGGTCCAAGGAATTAAGGGACAAACCAGGAAAACTATGAATACTTGGATCCTGACAGACGTCTCATCTAATCTCACTCTTTTCCCTGTCATGTACTTTGGAAACAAAACAGTAACTAAGCTGACAACATTAGGTGACTACAGAGAAGAGGGTGGGGAAAGAGGAGTAAAGGCTACTCCAATCATCCTGACTGCAGCACAAGGTGGGCTAGAAGGGCTCTCCCTACACTTCCAACTCACTGTCACCCAAAGGAGAACACAGGTGGCACACAAACTCTGGGGAAGTATAGGCCAGAACGGAAAGGTTCTCATCAGATTTCCCTGTCAAGAACTTCTGAAGTTTTTGTAGCTCTCCAGGGTCTAAAGAGTGATGGAAGCAGCTGGTTGACCAGAGTTTCTTGGTGCAGCACAGGCTCTAAAGCATTAATTTTAAATGGAGAAGGCAGTGACAGACCCTTAGATTCAGGGTATCCCCATGGATTTTATCCCCTTCCCCACCTACCTCTTGAAGTATTCCACCTCCCGGTCCGTCTCATCCATCTCTACTCCATCCACATCCTTGGGCAGGAACACATCATCTAGCAACACATACCCAAAGCCACTCAGCACCATCATCTAGTTTCCTGGTCCCAAAATACAGCTCACCCAGAAATGGCTGTTTCTTCCAGCCTAGGACTCCCCAACCATCTCCCAACAAAGACTTAACAATCTATCATCTCTGCCTCATTGACAAATACAAAGTCCAAGATAGAGGTTTTTCTTGTGACAAACAGAGCCAGTTCATGGTTAAAGAGGTGGCCTTCTGAGCATGGAAGGAGGGAGGGGCACTGCTGGAACAGGGCAGGATGGTGTTTGGCTTCATATTCTGACAAGCCCCCCAACTCATCCAAACTGAAATCCAAAGCCAGAATACATCTATCCTAAGGTGACACAGGTGGGGGAAAGGGGCTGGAAAAAAATGAAGAAAGTCACCTGGCTCGATTTTCACTCACCCAGAGAGGTGGTAGACTTCTCCATCTTGTTCCGGTTCTTCCTGTGCTTTCCCTTGGTCTGTGGTGAGGCCCCCAGGCCGGCCGGGCTCCCAAGTGGCCCATGGCCAAGGCCAGGTGCCTGCATGGATTCCTGCTCCGGCCTGTCCATTTTGGCCTCGCTCTTCCGGCTTCTCCACAAGCTTCCTTTCTCAGCCTTGGCACTCCAAGCCCAGTTCTGCCCTGACCGGCTCCCCCGGGGCCCTTCTTGGGGCTCTGGGCCCTTGGCTGGTTGCCTGGCTCCTGAAGCCTGTCCCTTAGTGGGAAGGCTCTCCAGCTTGGCCTGATGCCCAGGTACTCCATATGTCTCGCTTTTCTTGGCCTGACTGTTTTGCCTTTTATTCTTCTTTTGCCTCCCCCCTCCTCCAGGTGGGGGCTCGGGGAGCTCTGGCCCATTGATGGAGACTGCATCCTTCACATTGCGGCCTGGCCCTTCAGGGGCTGAGTCAGCAGCCTTTGGGGACTGAACCCAGATCATCCGGGAGAGGTTGGGCACAGCACTAAGCCTTTTAAGTAGCCCATTCTCAGTGGTGGGAGGTGGGGGAAGAGGCACTCTCTCATCCTGGGGCGGGCTCGGCTCACTGGAGGAGTGTAGTGTGTGGTTCTGGGAGGAACCCAAAGTCAAAGGTGAGAGATCTAGGCCAATCTCCTGTAGGTCAGATGAGCCATTAAGGCGGGAAAGCAGGTCCCTCTGCTCCAGCATGGCTGCCTTTTTAGGAAAATCATTCACATCCAGATTAAGGTCATAAACACTGAAGCTAGCTCGGATGGACTCTTTGATGGTATTCTTGATCTCCTGCAAGCGGCTGGTCAAGAAGCTGTTGACCCGCTCCAGTTCAAGCTGGGGCCACTCCAAAAGCTTCTCCCCTGATGGTTCTGTACCCCGACCAGCCATGGAGCTGCGATCAGCACGCTTAGAGCCCTCAGCTTCCAGCTGGGCCTTCTCCTTCTCCTGCAAATCCAAAATGCAGAGTTAGCTGGAAGAGCCATTCTAGCAGCAATGACATGGGACTTGAGGTCATGATACTTGGGAGTCAGTTTTCTTCCATTTATTCAAAACGCATTTATCAAAAGCATATTAAGTACTATGCACCATACTAGTCACTGGGGACACACAGACAAAAAGAAGGGCAATTTCCCTGCACTCCAGAAGCTTACATTCTACTGAAGGGATACAACACGTAGACCTAAAAATAACCTATAAATAAAAGCGTACACAAAGTAATTTCTGGGAGGGAGAGGGTGGCAGCAATTAAAGGAGATCAGGACAGGCTTGGCACTTGAGCTAAGCTTTGAAGGAAGCCAAGATTCTACAAGGCAGAAGTGAAGAGAGAATGCATTCCAGGCCTGTGGCAAAGGCTAGGACACATGTGACATATGATGAGCACTGTAGCATCATATGTATGGAGAGCAGCCAGTAGTTCACTACGGCTGGAATATAGTGCAGAGAATAATGCACGATGAGCCAGGAAAGGTAGATAGGAGCCAGATAGGAGAGTTTAATTTTATAACAGTTTATTAGGAGTTGAATCAACACTATTTTGTTCACATCTTCTAACAACTTGTTTTGACAATGATACACAGTGCTACCTTTGAGAACAGAGATAATACCACAGGACATAGAGTAACTCTTGAAAACAACGAAGATCCATGTATAATCTCTGTCAAATTGCTTGCCTTCTCAAGGAGAGGGGAGGGGATGGAGGGAGAGAGAAAGAACTTGGAACTCAAAAGTTTTTAAAAAAATGAATGTTAGGGGCAGCTAGGTGGTGCAGTGGATAGAGTACCGGCCCTGAAGTCAGGAGGACCTGAGTTCAAATCCCACCTCAGACCAAACACTTGACACATACTAGCTGTGTGACCCTGGGCAAGTCACTTAACCCCAATTGCCTTAAAAAAAAAGTTTAAAATTATTACCTAATTGGAAAAAAAAATACAAAAATTTTCACTTGGCAAAAATAAATAGATAAATTGAAGGGATACGGCATGGCACATTACCTGTTACATTAGAAACCATATTGGGTTGTTATTTTAAAATTTTCTTTTGTAAGGAATTTGCTTTTCAGGACCTTGAACCATTGACCTTAATGTATAACTAGCCAATACAGCCTGGCACACAGAGCTGTTAAACTGGCTTTCATAGGTCATCATCAATTAATGCTTTTTTCCAGTCTGAATTCCCTTATGCCTCTTAGGAGACCTTGCAATTAAAAACTTTTTTTCACATTAAAAATAAAGAAAAAGAATGTAGATCACAAGACCTGGGAACATGTGGAATGTAATCAAAATGTGAGAAGGGGGAGTTATACAGTGCTTAAAAGATGCTGCTGGCACCCATGTACATATGGAACTGTGATACCAGACTGTCACTATGATTGTGACCCTATTGGTAGCTGGCACTGCAGGATACTCCCTGTTACTCAAGCCCCTAGTATATAAGGAAGTTTGGATAGAAAGAATTAAGACCTTGACAGATGAGAGTAAGGGGATGGGAGCACATCCAGGTCTAAGTAACAGCACAAGGTGAGTTTCTTTTCCATACTGAGGGTATACCAATTGTCCAGTGCAAAGTGTTTACAACTCTAGAGCTCCATCTGATATGGGAAGGGGCTCCACTATTCAATAAAGGCTTGGGCCTATAGGCCTTGAAGAATTAGACAATCTGAAACTATGTGGGCATCAGGTCTTCCACAGAGCATGTAAATCACAAGAGTATGACAGATCAAACTATTCCCCCATTATCAATGCATTTTAACCATTTCCTCCTGAAACAGAACACAGGGAGACCACCTCAGAAAGAATGAGAATATTCACCTTGGTACCATATGTGGTGATTTTCCTAAGAGCGTTAAGTTTTGCTAGTATTTCGTTTGAAATAAGTTAGACATATTTAAACAGCTTTGTCTGAAAAATATCTGGGAGTTTTAGTGGACTGCAAGTTCAGTGAGTCAGCAGTGTGATGTGGAAGCAATGCAATCTTGGACTACATTGACAGACAGAGCATCCAGGAATAAGAAAGTGACCATATCTGGAGTATTGTATTCTGGGTGCCATGGTTTAAGAAGGACATAACTAAGCTCAGGAGCGTCCAGAGGAAGGCAACAAAATTAGTAGAGGGCCACAAATCCATAATAATAGGTTAAAGGAACTGGGATATTTAAGCCTGCAGAAGGAAAGACTTGGGGGAGACATGATAGCTTGCTTCAATTACATGAAGGACTGTCATATGGAAGAAAGATTAGACTTGTTTTGTTTGGTTCCTCAGGTTAAAACCAGAAGCAATGAGTAGAAGTTGAAGAGGCAAATTTGGGCTTGTAAAAATTCCTAACAATTAGAGTTATCCCAAAGTGGAACGAGTTGCCAAGGGAAGTAGTAGCTTCCCTTTAGATGTCTTCAAGCAGAGGCTGGATAACCACCTGTTACATAAGGTGCAACAGAGACTCATTCTTGTGTATCAGTAGAATTAGAAGGCTCCAGAGAACCATTCCTAAAGTCTGTGAAGTGTTTTCTGGATTGAACAATATTGTAAATGTAAAGGAGAAACCCAGAAGGCCTACGTACCTATATCATGAACCTGAAAGAAACAGAGAGTGAACAGAAGACCACGAGAGTAGAGAGGATAGTGAGAACCATGAGACAAGTGCACAGGAGTTGGCCAGCTTGACTCCAAATTAGTAAATATATATATATATGACCCCATTTTTGCATGTGTTTTTATATCCCTTGTGCAGTCTTGATGAAACATGGCCATTCCATCAATTAGTCTTCTAATCAACTTCAGCATCACCTCTAACTAGGCATAAGCCTTGCTAGGATTGTTTACATCATGGCTGAGATGTGAACCACAAAAGAAACGTGATTATCTGGTTCATAAAATCCGACCCCTCCTGCTGTGGTGGGTCAGTCCTTGATTACCTGTGAGACAAGAGGCAAAGAGGTCAGGTCTTAGACTGAATCCCAGCTCTACCATTTCCTAGCTATGTCACCTTGGGCAAGTTCAATTCCCTTCCCCAATGCTGTTTTCTCATCTGTGAAAGCAGGAAAATAAAACCTGCACTACCTACTTCACAGATCTGAAGTGAGGAAAGGGATGAAATTACTACAGACTGCATTAGACTGCTTTAGACAGTGAGCTCCTTGAGAGTAGGGATTGGTTTTTTTGTTTTGCTCTGTTGTGGTTGTTTGTGGATTTTGTTTTGTTGGGGTTTTTGGAGGGAGGGGGGGATGTGCCTTTCTTTGTATCTTTGGCTTAATCTCATTAAGCCTTGGCTTCCTGATTTCTAAAATGGAAATAATACCAACTCTCCTTGTCTCCCTTATGGGGGCATGGTGAATTTTCAGATATTGGAGACACTGAAACAGAGGACAAGTGCTGTAAAGATTTCTACTATGAAGACATTGGACTAGAGAAGTCAGAATTTAGAGATGAAAAGAAGTCATGTAGTCCTATCTTCCAATTTTACATATGAGGAAACTGAGGCCCATAAAGGTTAAATGACTTGCTTAAAGTCACACAAATAGAAAGCAAAAAGAGTCAGGATTCAAATTCAGGATCTGAGACTCAGTATAGTACAGGAGAAAGCACTCTGGCTCCAGAGTCTGTGGGCCTGGATTCAAATCCTATTTCCTACACTTACTACTTATGTGACCTTAGAAAGGCCTCCATCTCTTCTGACGTAAAGCAGGAGAGTAGGACTAGACAGCTTCTGAAGACCTTCAGATCTAGCTCTGACTCCAAATCCAGTGCTCCTCCCACTACACTAAAGCTGGCTTTTTCCCCAAGATTTTTAGTAGGTACAGTTTGTGACTGAGGTGATAAATATTGAGCCGACTCCTGCCACATCGGCTGGCACAGTCAACCTCCAGTCACTTAGGATGCTAAGACTTTAAGTGAGTTCATTTATGTGAAAGCATTTTAAAAACAGCCACACTAAATAAGTGAGGAGAGGGCTGTGCAAAGTCACCAGCCTCACTTCTTCCTCCAGAGCCATATGAGTCCATTGGCAAGATGTACATCAGGATGACTGGAGATGACCCAGGATGCAGTGGGAGACCTTGGCTTTTTTAAGCTAAGGTCTTTGACAAGTCTCAGTTTGACCGGACAATGCCCAATCAGTGATTAAGGTGAGGTAAGAAATGACGCAGAGAAAGATGTCTTTTACCTAGTCAAAAACAAACAACCCCCCCTCAACACACACACACAAACAAACAAACAATCTGGGAGAGGAAGACCCTTAGGGTTTCTGGCAAAAACAAAAACAATTGCTATTCACATTCACTCAGAGCCAATGGAGCACAATGACCAAATGGAGCTTGGCCTGGGACCTACAGTGGGCCAATCAATCAAAACTAGAGTGATTTGTGATTTCTTAAGGGCCACACCAAATAAAAATAAATATGTAAGGCAATATTAAGATAGAACTTCTGATCTACCTCACAGACTTCTTACAGCCAAAACCTACATCATAATGAAGTAAGGAAGAGTAAAATTAAAGCTAAAAGACTACATACCCCTAGAGGTTCTGCTTCCTCAGGATTAAGGAATAGACTCTTTATCCTCATCCCTCCACAGAAAGCACAGAGCAGACCACTGTCTTGTTGCCTTCATTATTACTTTAACAACAGCATTGAGATTAACAACTTTGCAAAGGAACCCAGCTTAGCATGATGAGAGGAATCTAACTCAAAGTTACCCAAGTTTTTTCAATGATCCAAAATCCATGTATGCAGAATGCATGAAATTAATTCAATAATAATGTACATGTAGTTTCAGTAACAATTAGTAACTGAGCTTGGGCATGCTACACAATGGCAGGAGTCCAGTTTAGTATTGCTGTTATGTTTTTTTTCTTGACCATGTGATTTTATCTGGGTAAGGAGCCCCCTGGGAGGGCATTCTGCCACTAGGCAGATTGGTATCTTTGTTGCAACTACTAAAGTTGCCTGGGGCAC